CCCCAAAACCCCAAAACCCCAAAACCCCTTTATACCAAAATTGCGTTGAAAATAAAATTTGTGAAGTATTAGCTCCGAAATGTGTTATTTGTAGAACTCATTGTCAAATATTACTTGCTTGATCATCCTATCTATGTCCTCATCTTCCTCGCTCTCATTATCGTCTCTAGTAGGGAGCATGGGGACTTCAGGTTCCTTTTCCTGAATTTCCTCAAATTCAGGAGTGGTCTGATTCTGTACTACCTTCTTATTAAAAATATCGTTGTTTGAGGAGTTTGTGTTATGCCTTGAATGGATCTTAAGTTTCTCTTTAGCCAATCTTTCATGAGCCTTATGACTATGGACATCAAAGAACATTGATGCCTTATTGGTCTTCTTATCATTTCCGAGCTGTTTCAATGGAATTATGTCTGGTTTTACCTGAACTTCTCTCTGTTCTTCCTCTTGTTTCTTTTTGATAACTCTATCAGCAATCTTAAGAGATTTCTCATTGAGCTCTGGTCTGAAAGTTCATCCGTACATTTCATTTTGAATTCTTTCTTGTTTCTTCTCATAAATTTGTTCTTCAGTAAGCATTGGAGCAAATATTGGTCCATTTCTTCTCCCACGCACTGTATTCTGGGTCCTGGCAATCTCAGGCTGGAAGGTTCACTCAATTTGGTCCTCAATTTCTTCTTCACGCTTTGAAATATACTTTCTTTCCAGATTTAGCTTTTTGGACAGCTCGTATTGGCGGATAATGTGAGGGTATAATTTCTGAGTGACCAATGCTGGAGTTGATCTCTCAGCTATCCTATAATCCTTCTGGATTCGGTTTTTAGCAGCTAGGGCGTAAAGTCTCTCATGACGTGCGATATCTCCCTTATTTTAAAACCAGTTTTCTCTTGTTTTTTCTAATATATTCTGGAGTTTCTGGCCTTGCGGTTTTTCTTGGGCGCTGGTAATTCTTCATTCTGAGTAACTTTTTCTTTCGCTGTTTAGCTCTCTCAAGGCTATTACCACTTTCTTCTGATGAAGAATCATAATGATCGAACTCTGCATGTCCAGGGCTGTGTTGAGATTGTTTAATAACCTCATGCTTATTTTATTTCACCCTTTATCATATCAAATTCTTCTTTGAGGTTATATTTCTTAGTCAGATCCAGTGCCTTTGCAGCAAGATCTTCGAAGTATTGAGTCAGCTTGTCTTCGTCAGCAGGTTTAGGTTGGTCAACTTCATCATTATCAAAGTTCTTCCTTAAACTTTTGTTGTGATATCCTATAATTTACATCTTAAATTACCTTGTCGGTGGCTGAGGTCCATATATTTGTTAATATTGTCAATATAAATATTATTTTATGGGGTTTTGGGGTTTTGGGGTTTTGGGGTTTTGGGG